AAAAAAAAAAAAAAAAAAAAAAAAAAACAAGATAATTGGGATTTTTTTGCAATTTTAACCCAATTATAATTGCTGTCACGCTGCGGCTCCGCACCTTATCCATTCCCCCCTCTGCTCCCAACCCCTCCCAAAACCCTGCAACGAAGGGCAAAATATTGAACTTCATACGGAGGATTTGCCCATTCTTAAACCCGCAATATCCAGTTTCTCGTAGCTGGAATACTTGACGCTCGGCCTCCGACCTTCCGAACAAACCCTCCCAACATTATCTTCATTATTCACAACCGATGGAACTTTCTTCTTGTTTTGTTAAACTTTCCTCCCCTACTCCTAATTTCTCTTTCTCGTCTTCTTTAACCCCATTTGTTGTAAAAATTCACCCCAATAATCCCAGCTTATCGAACCCCTCTTCTGGGAGTCTGCGTATTTTTGCAGTTGCGGTTGACCCACGACAAGAGCTGCCCAAAAACAACCCTCAGAGACTGCTCAAAGAGCTCGAGGAGCGAAAACGAGCCACTTCTCCGAAGAAAAAGGTTCCCCCAAGAAGGTTTATTCTTAGACCGCCGTTAGATGACAAGAAGTTAGCGGAAAGGTTTCTCAATAGCCCTCAATTAACTCTTAAATCATTCCCATTACTGAGTTCTTGTTTACCATCTTCGCGGCTTAACAATGCTGATAAAACTTGGATGGAAGAGTACTTGCTGGAAGCCAAGCAAGCCCTTGGATACCCCCTTGAGCCCTTCGATAGTTATGGAGACGATAATCCTGCAAAGCAATTTGATACTTTGTTGTACTTGGCGTTTCAGCATCCCTCATGCGAAAGAACAAAGGCCCGACACATAAGGTCGGGACACTCGAGGCTATTGTTTTTGGGCCAATATGTAATCGAACTGGCGTTAGCGGAGTATTTTCTGCAGAGATATCCTAGGGAATCGCCAGGTCCAATGAGGGAGAGGGTTTTTGCGTTAATTGGGAAGAGGAACCTTCCACAGTGGATCAAAGCTGCCAGTTTACAGAATTTGATATTCCCATATGACGACATGGATAAGATGGTTAGGAAGGACCGCGAACCACCTGTGAAGTAAGTTTGGTATTGTCTTTTCATTGTCTCTAATTCTTCTTTTTCCCATTATAAAATGATGCTGAGAATAAGATAATTGGAAAGTTGTCATTGGTATATTAAGCTTAAGACCCATGTTAAGTTTTAGAAGAATCACAAAATGTGGGATCATCATCAGAGTGAAAAGTATCAAATGCTTTAGGAGAGCTGATTGTGCCATATGATTGTAATACCTTGTATGGTTGACTAGGAACTGGGATTTATCGGTCAGAAGAGGCATCAATAAGGCATTTGATGAGGGTAGGCGTTGAAGGTATGGTTGCTGTTCCTGGAAATCTAGATTTAGGTTAGCTTAGTCTGTGATGGTCGTGGACACTTTTTTGAATAAGAAATAATTTCGTTCATAATATGAAATTTCAAAAGGGGTGAAGAATGTAGCTCCAGAATTTCATAGCATATTCACACTCAACCAAAAGATGGTCGTGGACACTGAGCTTCATTATATAGATGGTCACCCATTTGTGAAGATGATGCTACTAAAGACCAGCTGGAGACAATGTTAAGGAAGTTGTTCCCCAGAAAATGTAACATAAAGCCTTAGTTTGAAGTTATATGGGATTTTTTATTGGTGGTTTGGTTCCTTCGGGTCAATTCTTTATCAATAACTTATGTGAAACTAGCCCGACATGTTCTTTCCTCGAATCTAATACCGGCAGGTTACGGACTCCTTCCATGTATGTGGCTTCCTTCCAGATTCGTCCGTCCTTCACAAACTTGCTTCCAGGCCAATATGATTATCTTTTACCTAGTTGGCTTTCCATGTGCCTCTTAATCGTGGATGTGCTTTTACTTCAAATCATGGTGTTACTTTCCCTTGCATTTCTGAGTGAGGAACTGTCTTGCACTTAATTGGTAGATTATTAGCTTACTTGGGAACTTAAACTCTGGCCGTTTCTCTTTCTGAAATAGTTTGATTCAATCTATTATATCAAACAATGTGAGTCTAAAATTAATTTTCTTCAAGCAGATCTGTATTTTGGGCGTTGTTTGGGGCAATATATTTGTGTTTTGGAATGCCAGAAGTGTACCGGGTCCTTTTCGAGGTGTTTGGAATGGACCCAGATGCAGAGGAATGTGAACCAAGGTTACGCAGGCAACTTGAAGATGTAGATTATGTCTCTGTTGAATTTGAGGACAAAAAGATCAGCTGGCAAGATATGGTTGCCTATAAGGCAAGTTTCATGCTTATTCTTAACAGCACAGTAAACTATTATGCCGTTGTTTTCATCTTTCTTTAAGGATGAAATCATCTTACTCCTGTGATCGTATTTTCCTTTCTTCATTTTCAGCCTCCAGAAGATGCTCTGTTTGCGCATCCTAGGCTCTTCAGAGCTTGTGTCCCGCCTGGCATGCATCGATTTCGTGGTAATATATGGGATTATGATAGCCGGCCGCAAGTCATGCAAGCACTAGGATACCCTGTACCTGTTACTGATAAAATTCCTGAGATCACAGAAGCGAGAAATATTGAACTCGGACTTGGACTGCAGGTACTCCCCCACCCACCACCGTGCACATACACATGCACACTCACAAACTCACACCACAAATGGCTTTTCTTTCTCCTCGTTCCCAAATCATGATCATACTACTATTATATTCTCAATGTCGGTTTTGGCCGTGTTTATGAAGGCGATGTCTGGTTATGATTTTTGTTGCATCTTATGTGTGAAGGAGGATAATTAAAGAATGTCTTTAGTCTAGAATCTCCGCTCGATGTTTGATATAGACCGATATGATGGTTTTAAGGACCTTGCAAGGCTATATGTGAATTCTGTTAAACAGCATGATCAAGTTTAATCTCAGGCAATTTCTTAATCAAATGCAGCTTTGCTTTTTGCACCCATCAAAACACAAGTTTGAGCACCCTCGTTTCTGCTACGAGCGATTAGAATACCTCGGCCAGAAGATCCAGGTAAGACCTTTCTTACTCTTTGTCCTATCTATCTACATTTTCCGCGCATTGTGTTTAGATCAAGAAACTTAAGGTGGTCGGCCTGATTGTGTTTGTTCAAGGATATTGTGATGGCGGAGAGACTGTTGATGAAGCATTTAGATGCTCCTGGAAAGTGGTTGCAGGAGAAGCACCGGCGGTTGCTCATGAACAAGTTCTGCGGTCGGTATTTGAGGGAGAAATATCTTCATAAACTTATCGTCTACTCCGAACAAGTTCAAGATGCATACGAGAACAACCGGAGGCTTCGAAACCCAGCCACCACGGCTGTACAGCAATCCCTTCATGGACTTTCTTATACAGTATATGGAAAGCCTGATGTGAGGCGTCTCATGTTTGAGGTCTTTGATTTTGAGCAAATCCAACCTAAAGCTGTCTGAGGATCTATGAGGTAGATGATGCAAGCCCTGGCTAGTCCCTTGGATTGCAACATTATAGTATATTATATATAAAATCCTCGTATATCTCATTAATGTGCAAACTTTTAATTTATGAAGTCGTCACATGGAAATTTACATTGACATGTTGACATTTCTATCGACATTCACACATGTTCATATGGGGCGACTCAGCATTTATATGGCAAAAGAAATTCTTGAACCATTAAAATTAAGTAACAAAATGTCACTAATATAAGTGGTAAATATTTTTTTTTATATATTAAGTAACAAAAGCAAGAACCTCTGGTCTCTTCCACATTGTAAATTCAAACGGAAATAAAACGGGATGGTAGCAGTGACGCGCAAGGAGAGCTAAAGTTTCTGCGTCAAATTGCAATAATGCGCGCGCTATCACGTCGTCTACATTAGCCATTTCAGCCGTACCGACATCTCCCTTCTCTGTGTCTGGACTTGGTGTTTTTGCGAAGCGCAAGCCTTCTCTCATGGCCTGGTTCTCCGCCACATGAACCATGCGCCCATCCGCCTTCTCATAGTGTGCGCCGTCTTTTCCCTCCCTTTTCCGGTCGTCCACTCCCCTTCCTTACGCTCCCCTCCCCTTCCACCGCCTTCCGACTGCAGTTTCTTCAACTCTGCTGGTGTTGTTCAGGGGGATAAATCCACACCGATCGGATTGTTTGGCTCTAACTACCCATCCATGTCTAAAGCCCGTGTTTATGCTGATGTCAATGTTCTGCGCCCCAAGGACTATTGGGATTACGAATCTCTTGCTGTTCAATGGGGGTAAGTCTTAAACCCTAAGATTTCGGTGGATTTTTCGTTTGGGCAACTTGATTTTAGGTTGCTTCGTTGTTGCGATGTTATACCGTTTCTGGGTATATAAATCATCACTGCATGATCTGTAACATAATTGCTATGCGCAATTAACTTTCTTTCTTTCTTTCTCTCTACCATATTCTACTAGTATAGTTGAGGATGGTT